AAAATATACATACTCTTGAAAACTGAGTTCGACCAAAAGATGACAAATGTTATCAAAACGTTACTATACCGAAACACAGGTGTCCTCCCATTTGTGAGAACTCCCAGTTGTGAGACACATTAATTAATGGTTGAGTGCACCTGGGTGGTGTTTCCACATCCCTACAATGAAAGTGGGAACAGCCCTGTTATTGAAGAAAACCCACAGGAGGCATGGTTCATTAATGAGTTAATTAACACAGAAGACATTGTTCATTAAAGAGCATTTATTGTTTTCAATAAAGAACATTAATAGACACAGAAATAATGAAATAGATTATCAAAGATATGAAGCAGCCAGGTCGACATCGGTACTTGCTGATGAAAAGAGCAGACAAAGGTTAATAAGTACATTTATATCAATTATAATTAAAACAGTTGTTGTTCCATTAATTAAACACGTAAATTTGAGTAGGTAAATTTATTTCTCTTTCAAACAAATGATCACGTGACCTACAGAAAGTTTTTATCTTTTAAAGACATTTATTTGAGTAGGTTAATTGATTTATCTTTTAAAGTTTCATTAAGTTACCTCCAGATGAGCGCAGGGAGGTTCTGTACCCAGTTCGAAGAATGTGAAGTGATCAGATTTTATGATTTAAGGCGAATTAGGTAGATACATAATATATATCAAACCACAATTTAGAACTTCAAACCACAGGTTGCCCATTGAAACATGACGTTGGTACGGCATCGAAAGATGTAGTAGAATCTACCAACATTGTACATCATCTGTCCAGCACTAAATGTCCTTAGACATCAATTTCTTCCCCAATATTATTGCAAACATCCTAATATTGAAAATAATGTTTATCTAATGGAATGTGATTATTCACCATTTAACTCTAAAGTTGCCAAATTGATAAAAAAATTGTTCAATGTTTTAATATGCATGAATGTGCTATATATGTTGTCTGTGTCACTTTATGTGATTATAAAGTGTGATTATATAATTATATGTGAGAATAAAATGTCTGTTCTGCTCCGTTCACAAGGTTCAGTTACATAGCTTATCTCTAATTAGCTTGGGTTAATCCATTTCATCAGATAGGGGGACATGTTGTGTTTTCTTTGATAATTACCTACTCTACTGTCTCACAAATGGGAGTATACCGAAACACACCGTAAGCCTGAGGTCAGCAACACAATGGTCTGTATCAAAAACATCACTGCATCGAACACCTAGTTATTGTTTGTTTCATTTGTAGCTACCACCAAACAAGTATGGGTGTATATACGTTGTTAATCCCTGTAGTGTACCTGCGATCTTCAGTCAGATATTTCATGAATTAAGGCGTTTAGATGAACACACATTACCGTCTCAACCGGTGAGTTGTTTTGCCGACGATCGACCATCCCCGTACTTGGACACAAACTCACACTAACCCCACGCCCGTTGAACTGAGCTGATAATTAGTGCATTTGGCAAATATTCGTGTGTTTAAAAAATATCACTGTTTGCACATTCGTGTTACAAGCAAAAGGAGAGGCAGTTAGGCGTGTTTGCAGTGCTTCAGTTTAATTTTCTTTTGAATTCAATGAATGGAATGACTACGGGATTGAAAAATTTAATTTGCAGATTTTTTAAAAACTTTGAAAGATCACGTTTGACACCTGGCCCAGTTTACAAAGTATCACCTCTGTTTTGGGTGCAGCATCCTGATTTTGTGAGCACGATTTATTCCACTTCCATTAGAAGTAAGTACCCGAACCGTTACGTATAATTAATAATATTTCCCTTCGCAGGGAATCTTTAAACTGAAGGTTATGTGAGGGCAGGTAATTCTTGGTGGACACCGACATCAGCAATATTTAAACAAATTCTGGCATTTGTCATTAACTGGAGTCTGACCAGTTACCTTGTGTGTTTGTTGTTTTACGCCGCACTCAGCAATATTCCAGCTATAGGGTATCGGTCTGTAAATAATCGAGTCTGGACTAGACAATCCAGTGATCAACAGCATGAGCATCGATCTACGCAACTGGGATACGATGACATGTGTCAACCATTTTAAGTCAGAGATCGTGACCACCCTCTTACGACAACCATGGGTTTGCTGAAGACCAATTCTAACCCGGATCTTCAGGGGTCGCCATTTCCGAAAAGTGTATGTTGCTGGGGTCATTTTCCAACTGGAATCACAACGGGGAAAGGGAAAAGTCAACATATATAACCTTTTGATATTTCTGTGCCATTATCTTTTGCAATCTTTGGCTTTGATCAACAGCCAGTCGAGTAGTGATGTGGAACTACGATGATATAACCGAGAGCATGACCACCCACACCGAATCGTCCTCGTCACATATGTTATAACCACCAAATTTTCATTTTGACCTTAATGCTGATGTCATGGCACGCACCCTGGTATAGCTTCACGCGTTGGATCGTAGGCCAGGCGCTGGTAGCAGGGCCTGGAATTACCCAACAGATGACATTCTTATTATCTTTTCAGTTTTCTGACATTCGTCCGGTCTCAGGTCAGAGGCCACTAGTTCACACTTCTATCAAGGGACACGGTTGGAGTGAGTTGGGTTTAATGCCCCTATGTACAGCATTCTGGTTGTATCAGGGCATGTTCCTGGTGCTGATAAATCGACAAATCATCGTGTGTTTGTTGTTTAACGTCGCCTCCAGCATTATGCCAACTAGTTGAGGCGGTAAATATTCGAGTCTGGAACGGGCACTCTTGTGAGCAAGTGTACAATAATGTAACATGATTTTAAAATTATTTATTACATGCCTGAAAGTAACGTATTGTACGTTATATCAGGGTCATTGATACTGCAGACGCGGGCGATGGAAACATGCTTCAAGGGGTCAATATGAAATCCAGTGCTGCTGTGATGGGAGGGACATGTTGGACATGATGATCTTATTTGTTAGTGTGTAAGATATTCCGACAGATCTCCGATCTGTTTATTCACATCTGCTCTACGAATAAATGTGTTTGAAACACAGCTAATTAAATTGTCACCGAGACTCTTATATTTCGTATGGTTATGGAAAGTATTGTGACACTTTTATTTCCAGATACATCTGGTTCCTGAAACTGATATAGAAGACACACTCTTGCTGTCATGTTCTGATTTGTTCTCTTATACTTACTTATACAGGGCGCTGGGGTAACGTAGTGGTTAAAACGTTCGCTCGTCACGCCAAAAATCCCGGGTTCAATTCCCCTCATGGGTACAACGTGTGAATCCCATTTCTGGTGTACCCGCAGGAATATTGCAGGAATATTGCTAGAATCGGCGTAAAACTAAACTCACTCACTCACTGTTGCTAATACATCTGAACTTGCAACTGGTATAGAAAGCGTTTGGCGTGTTGTGTGGTTTTTACTCCCCACGCCTCGCAGACGTTGCCCAATACCACAGCAGGGAGAAATAAGCAATACATGCTGCAAAGGATACATGTTATTCTGAGGTGAGGTGAGGTGAAATTGGGTTTAACGTCGTGCTTGAGAATATTTCGCTCATATGACGACGTGCATACGTGTTTATGTGTACGTGCGTCAGCGTGTACTAGCCCAGACTTAGGCTGGTTTTATAGTGCTAGCCCACTGAGATACCATGCCGCAGTGAAGCATGAATACCCCACTCGGACACATTATACTAACTCCGAGCCGACCAGTCCTTGTTGTACTCATTAATGCCGAGCGCCAGGCAGGAACCAACAAGTACCATATTATAACGTCTTTTGGTATGACGCGGTCGGGGATCGAACCCACGACCTTCAGCTCTCCGGGCGGACGCTCTAACCACTACACCACGGAGGCGGTCTGTTATTATGAATATCATACTGCAGTTGTCATACTGCGGGTCAGCATGATATACCTTATGACTTTCTTTGAACTGCGGATGGCGAAGGCGTTTCAAGTTGAGAATCAACTTGACATCATAAGACTATTAAAGACTATGACATTTCATCCGAAATGGAAAAATGTTGTCCTAAATTTGTTTTCCATGTCTTTTGCAAATTAATGAAACGCTCGGAAAATATCGACTACAGGTTATCAGGAAGCGTCATTGAGTGTTGCCTCTCTTGGTTGTTTGCAAACATGAGCAGTTTGATTGTTCGAGAAGTTTCGTGATGTTTGTTTGTTTCTCCGTTATTTTTACTATTATTTCTGCTATATGGCAGGGGTCTGTAAATAATGCGGCCAGACAATACAGTGATCAACAGCATAGATCGATCCCGTCAGTCACCTCTTAAAACAAGCATGGGTTACTGAAGACAAATTCCACTACACATCATAATTAGTCGATTGTAACATACTATATTATGAGCAAGTGTTTTATTTTTGTGTGAGTCTTTTTAACGCCTAACTGAGCAATGTGACATCTGTATGGCGGAGGTCTGTACAGAAACGTATCTGGACCTGACAATCCAGTGACTGACAAAACAAGATACAATGACAGAGCATGTGTCTATGAATCACTATAAAATTGTGATGATACCGGGTGTTCGCCAAAGGCGAGTGTATCCTGCATAAACGGTGGCACCCATCGTAAACATGTACAAAGGGTAGTCAACTGTTCACCCCAAAAATGGTAAATCCATCCATGCCATTATCTCAATATCACTTTGTTTGCGGGTCAAATGATCTTGTACGCGCGTACTGTATATGCATTTCATCATCCATTGACATTTTTGTCCTGGCAGTCTGTAGATGCAATATAGGAGACAGGTTACCAACACCATTATTCGTATGTTTATCATTGTGTTGTGAAAACACACACACGTTTAATTAAATATTGGTTTGCCTTGCGGTGTGGGACTGAAATACATTTCTTCACCATTGCTAATGGCCGGTGCTACAGGAGGGACAGAAAATGATTACCCTTTTCATGAACACCTGGTGTTATCGCTGAATTTTAGCGATTCATTCACATGATTTTCACGGTTCCATGTCCTTTCCACTGAGTGGAGTCCATTACAAGGATAGTCAAGACTGAGTATTTGACTGGCACTGATGTTTTATATTTGCAAAACAGTTGCAGACATTGTCACATGCACAACTTTCATTTGAATTTAACGGTAAAATGCTTCACTCTTCTGGCTTCTCAAACACAAAAATGGCTTCAAGAAAATTGTGATCCTCGTGGAAAAAACAACAATTAAATCAGTCTTATTTACTGACAGTTCTGTGCTACAGTTGGCACATAGTCTTGAGGTATATTGGTATATCATTATAAATCATTGGTCACCACTGATTTGGTCCAGCCTATCACTCATCTATCACTATTACAACATTCTGTTGTACCTCTTCCCTTACCACACTGGGTTCTCCTTCCTGTTCAATGACAATACAATCATCTACAGCATCCTGAACCACAACCTTTTCAACTCTTTCCTTAACCACATTGTGTCCTTCAATTTCCTGATCTACCACTATACAATCTTCTTCTTCCTCCTGTATCCAAATATGTTCTGCTTTCTTTATCACATTCTGTTCTTGAACTTCCTTGTTTACCACAATCCGTTCTTCATCCATTACAATCTTTTCTTCTTCCCCATTTACCAACAACTGTTCTACTTCTGTCCCCTGTAAAACAAACTTTTCTTCTTCCACTTCTCTTGTCGACTGTTCCTCTTCCTGCAGTACTACAACCCAATCTTCTTCCATGTGCACAACATACTGTTCTGCCTTTTCCTGTCCTTTATCTTTCTTCTGTACAACAGATGTTTCTCCAAACCTCTGCTCAAGAGACTGTTGTTCATCTTTCCCACTTTCCACAAACTGGTCTTCATCAGGTTTATTTACCACAATCTGATCTACTTCCTTCTTTACAACATTCTGTTTTACCAAAGCTTTAGATGAGACAATCTTATCTACATCTTTCATTATCTGGTCTTCATCTACCTCCTGTAAAACAAATTGTCCTTCATCTGGCAGAAAATTTACAATCCACTTGTGCACCCGTACCACATTCTGTTCCTTATTCACAACCCTGTCTTTGCATTTATTGCTTACCACAATCTGATCTACTTCTTCCTTTACAACATTCTGTTCTAGTACCTCTTTATTTACCACAATCTGATCTACTTCTTCCTTGGCAACATTCTGTTCTAGTACCTCCGTATTTACCACAATCTGATCTACTTCTTCCTTGACAACATTCTGCTCTAGTACCTCCTTATTTACCACAATCTGATCTACTTCTTCCTTGGCAACATTCTGTTCTAGTACCTCTTTATTTACCACAATCTGATCTACTTCTTCCTTGACAACATTCTGTTCTAGTACCTCTTTATTTACCACAATCTGATCTACTTCTTCCTTGGCAACATTCTGTTCTAGTACCTCCGTATTTACCACAATCTGATCTACTTCTTCCTTGGCAACATTCTGTTCTAGTACCTCTTTATTTACCACAATCTGATCTACTTCTTCCTTGGCAACATTCTGTTCTAGTACCTCCGTATTTACCACAATCTGATCTACTTCTTCCTTGACAACATTCTGCTCTAGTACCTCCTTATTTACCACAATCTGATCTACTTCTTCCTTGGCAACATTCTGTTCTAGTACCTCTTTATTTACCACAATCTGATCTACTTCTTCCTTGACAACATTCTGCCCTAGTACCTCTATATTTACCACAATCTGATCTACTTCTTCCTTTTCAACATTCTGTTCTACTACCTCTATATTTACCACAATCTGATCTACTTCTTCCTTTTCAACATTCTGCTCTTCTACCTCCGTATTTACCACAATCTGATCTACTTCTTCATTTTCAACATTCTGTTCTACTACCCCTTTATTTACCACAATCTGATCTACCTCTTCCTTTTCAACATTCTCTAGTACTTCCTTATTTACCACAATCTGATCTACTTCTTCCTTTTCAACATTCTCTAGTACTTCCCTGTTTACTACAATTTGTTCTTTTACCACCAAATGTTCATCTTCCTTCTGTTCTACAAACTCATCGTCATCTTCCTGACATTCTTCAGTCCAATCTTCATCAATGTACACCTGTTCTTCATCTACTACTTCTGTCTTGTTGTGTCCATCAGCTTGTTCTATTTCTTCGCCCTGTTCACCTGTTCCTAAGCTTTCTTCAGGAGTCACAACCTTTCTTCTCTTCCTGCCATTCTTTCCTGGAGCTGGCTCTTGTTCCTTATCCATCTTTTCAGAAGGATCGGTGCGCTTACAAATCAGCCTTTCGTGTAATTTAGTCATTGTCTTTGTAAAATGTCCAATTCTAGTATCCATTGAACCAGATATATTCTGATTTCCAATCTTTTTGGCCCATGGCACATTTTTCTTAGCTTTTGCAACAATTTTACACTGTAAACCTGTATGGATTGGAGCCATATTTCCTTCAGGTTTACTGGACAGACAAGCTCTTGCCTCACTAGGAGACAGATAAACTGGCTTTCGTTTATATACAAGGTGCTGGTGTCTGTTCCTTATCCTTTTGTTCGGCTTTGGTTCATAATCAATACACTTCTTACCTTTAATTCTTTTCGGACAACAAAATTCTATTGGATTCCTTATTCCCACAATTTGCCTGTAAAGATACTCATTCACTTCATCACGACATATGTGTACCCTTGGTTTCAGAATCATGTTAGTGAGAGAAGCTTTTCCGTCACTTCCCATTTCACTTTTTTGTTATGAATACTCCATTTGGCATGTTCACGATTACTGTGGTTGGTGGATTCTCTACACTGCGTCTGCCGACTGAAGGTGAATTAAACACTGTACTGGCTCTCTCCATCTTTCTCCCAAGTCTAAACTGGTCATCAATACTTGATGTTTCCTCTGTTAGGATTTCATCCCTGTGTCCATCTTCACTTCCGTGATCTTCATCTACAATCAAGTTGTAAATACAAATAACAATTCTGTTACTCTAACAAGTAATTAAATCCCTTTTTAACAAAAATTTACAATACAAAAATCTGTAAAGATAACAACATGTATTATAAGTCATATATTACATGGGTGGGTTATAAGTTATATATTACATGGGTGGGTAAGACGTTTATGATCATGTTGATTCCAAAATGTACTGATATTTATTACTGTTTGTTTGCTACTAATTTTCCAACTATATGGCAGCAGTCTGTAAATATGTAAGCTTTATGTAAACAGAAAATAACTACTTTTGAAAACAATATGGCAGAGGAAATTGTAAATACAGCCTAAGGTAAAACATGCAAAGAGTTCGGAAGTCATCAAGACGGATTGTAACACTACCAGCCTACAAACAAACATCACCCCAGATAAGTGGCATAAACACTTAAGTAACCTCTTCCACCCTCTAACAGATTGCACACAGTTTGATATACATGTACGAATGTTTCTTGAAAATCATGATGTTGTTAATTGTGAACAATGCAGAGATTGTGACAATATCTTAGATGACAACATCTCAAATGATGACAATTTGAATGCAGATAAGAATCTGAAAAGTGGTAAATCTCTTGGGGCTGATGTTATTCTATATAAAACGTCTTTTCAAAGAGATTCTCAACGCTGGTAATTTTTCAGATTCTTTGAACCTTGGTCTTATTGTTCTGTTACATAAAGCGGGAGATAGAGAGGATCCCAATAACAACTTGATATAATTAGCAAAGAATTCACAAGTATTCTAAATGCACGTATAAAACTTTACACAGGATATAATTTCTGGGTCTCAAGCAGGGTTTAGAGAGACTACAGTACTGTTGACCAAATATTTGTATTAAATTCCATTATCCACAAGTACATAAGGAAAAAGCGTGGAAAATTTATAGTATTTTCGTTGATTATAAAAAAGCTTTTGATATGTTGACAGATACACGCTCCTATATATACCTGTGTAGTAGGCCATTTCTTCCCCGGTCAAAACTTTCCCCGGGCAGAATTTGGCCTAGGCCAAACTTTCCCTGGGGAAGTTTTGTCCTAGGATATTCTTACCCACGGAAGTTTTGTCCTAGGATATTCTTACCCCTGGGAAAGTTTGGGCTAGGCTAAAGCCCCCCCCCCCCCAAGTTTCTCCCTTGTTCAAACTAGGATATTTTGTCCGTAAGGGGGCAGATTCTGGCCCAGCTTGGCCACTGCTTCCCCACCCTTGTTCTTACATCAAAAGGGGGAGATTCTGGCCTAGCTAGAATACTTATTCCCAACCCTTGCTCTTATATCAAAAGGGGGAGATTCTGGCCTAGCTAGGCTATTTCTTCCCCACCCTTGCTTTTATATCAATAGGGGGAGATTCTGGCCTAGCTAGGCTACTTCTTCCCAACCCTTGTTCTTATATCAAAAGGGGGAGACTCTGGCCCAGCTAGGCTACTTCTTCCCCACCCTTGTTCTTATATCAAAAGGGGGATATTCTGGCCTAGCTAGGCTACTTCTTTCCTACCCTTGCCTTTATATCAAAAGGGGAAGAACAAGTTATTATAAACATCAAACCGAAAGTAGTTTTGACTCACACACCAAACAAGGCAGTTTTAGCCGAATATGGGAGATACCTTTTACAAGTAAATTATATGACACAAGTTGTTTCGTTCTGTATGCACCTGCGACCTGACACACGTCACTCGTATGATGTGTTAAAATGTTTAGACGACAATGGAGATAATAACTGGGCTTCGGCAGTACGATCAATATTATTTCAACATGGCTTTGCTTATGTATGGATATATCAAAAAGTTGGAAACTGGGAATTGTTTTTAAATCTTTTCAAACAACGTTGTAAAGACATGTACTACCAAGAATGGACACAAGACAAAAGAAACTCAAAATCATTACATATATATTCTGCCTTTATATCTGATACTGTTCCGGAATTGTACTTGATTCCACTCTCTTCGTTAAATCAGAGCAGAGTCTTAACAAAATTCAGATGCAGCTCCACCAATAGTTTCCTATAGAAGATCTAAAGACAATGACATTAGTGTAGCTATGTGCGATTATTGTAAAAGTGTACTAGAGTGAGTGAGTGAGTTGAGTTTAACGCAGCACTCAGCAATATTCCAGCTATATGGCGGCGGTCTGTAAATAATCGAGTCTGGACCAGACAATCCAGTGATCAACAGCATGAGCATCGATCTGCGCAATTGGGAACCGATGACATGTGTCAACCAAGTCGGCGAGCCTGACCACCCGATCCTGTTAGTCGCCTCTTACGACAAGCATAGTCGAAAAGTGTACTAGAAGATGAGTATGATGTGTAAAAATGTCCTTTTTATGCAGCGATAAGAACTCACTACATACCAAGTACCTATATTATGAACCCAAATAAACAAAAAATTGTACATCTTCTAAATACTAAGAACCATAATATGATACTCCGTCTAGCATTTTTTGTAAACAAAATCATGTCCAGGTGCTCTTAAAAAGTTTAATCTAAGTTGTCATTTTGTACTATTGGCCTCATGGCCACATTTATGAAATAAACCTGTCTGTCTGTAGTTTTGACATAAATTTTGGTAATTTTATTTTGCCAATTGAGTAGAAGTCATTTTATTCTGACATTTTGCAAACAATCTTGGAAATCAGCTTCAGCTACGTGTTCATAATTTTCTTTCATCTTTCCGTTGAATAGTTATCGAATGAAACCTGATTAAGCACAATAAGTACAACTTGATCTTAATCTATCAGATAGACAGCCATGTTAAACCTGATTGGTATGTCTAATATATCTTGTTTAAATGGTTGCAGTTTTCTTAACAATCATGGGAAAATTGAATCGAAATTATGTGTATGTAAATCACCATGAAGCTGATTTCGAACTTTCACTCACTGCACGTCACTGTAATATAAGAGTAATAATTACCATCATATGACATGAGGGGGTCATACTTAGGAGGACCAACTCTCGCTCTTCCTGCAGAGGCCATATTTGTTTTGTGTTCACAAGGTGTACTTCTTTCTCTCCCTGAAACATCCACAATTGACTCGTGTTCAGAAGGTCTATGTCTTTGTCTCACTTCGACAGCCAAACATGAATGACATTTAGGAGGTCTGTCTCTTGGTAATATGAATACACAATGCCATTTAGAAAGTTGTCAATTATCATGCTTGGTATATTTCGGTCTCTTTGGGATAACACTGTCTCAGTAAAGGACAGATTGTAGTACTTTTATTGGGTTAAGTCCCATCTGGGATTTAAACCCGCACCCTCAGAGTCTGGCTCCTAACTGTCAGCACACAAAGTGAGCCGACTAACCCACTCAGCCATCGCGGCTTCCACAATTACACAGGTGGTTGAGTGGGTCAGGTTAGTCAGCTGACAACTATTAGACAACTGTACTTTACTGAGAAAGTGTAATCCCAAATATAACATCTCTTATGTTTACAATACATCATGATATATATACTCGAAGTTAAACCAACATGATTGACATAATTCTCATCAAAAAGAGAGTGATACATAATCCACTAGGTATTAAACCTATTCATAGAATTGCTATTATGATTAATTGTCTGTTCACTTTTATATGTAATTTGATGCTCCCTCTTAAAATGCTGAAAGTCAGGAACCTTGCATCTATATGCAAAATACTTGGGCAGGATTAGGAAAAGATCAAATACAGAGTCAGTGATAATGTTCTCTTTACATCGCATAATAACCAGTTCATGTTATAAGTTCAAGTTATGTATATGAATTCATTCTAAAAGATGGGATATAATTTCTCTATGTTCATTTCATAATGAGTGAGTGATTGAGTTTTAGTTTTATGCTGCTTTAGAAATATTCCAACAATATCACACCAGAAATGGGCTTCATACAATATGCCCATGTGAGGAATTGAACCCAGATCTTCAGCGTGACAAGTGAACACTTAAACCACTAGGATACCCCACCGCCTCCTGTTTCACTATGAGCAGCCTTCCCAATCCTGAACCTTGATAATATACAAGAAGATATTAGTTGTTAATATTCTGTGCAAAATTCTGTACTGGAACCACCTTAACTTTGTTTCTTTTTGCTTAGAAAATAAATGAAGAACCAAATATGTTTGCCCACTTAGACATTGAAACTTCAACATTTAGGATGTTATAACAAACTTTCTTAACAGAGCATATCAACTGTTTCCATGGAGATGCCTCCATGCCATTTGCCATTTCTTTTTGACAATGTTCAAAAGTTTCAAGTATTTTTGAATTGATATTGTAATTCAATAATACTCTTGAAAGGAAGTGTTCAGATTAGACATATTATAATCTCATCATGGTCTATACACTCTCCAAGTTCCTTTACAATACCACAAATTTGTCACACACCTTTATTGAACAAGTTTTTTCTGTAAACAACTTTTTTATCCACTGATATTTTCTGGATGGGCACATGCAGGTAGGCATCCTGAAGGTCGAGACTGGCCAACCAAACCCCGGGCCTAAGCTTGGCTCGTAGCTGTTCCAGGGACACCATGCGGAAGTGAGGCGGTTCCGAAAGATAAAGGTGGTTGAAAACTGCCATGTTGTGAATCATGCGTACTTTCACTGAGTCCTTCTTGGGAACCAGGAAGATGGGTGAGTAGAGTCCCGGGGACTGTTGGGGGTCTAGCACTGTCTCTATAGCTTGTTTGCATAGCAGAGTGTGAATGCTGTCTGCTAGCAGTAACTGTTGGTCTGGAGCATACAAGCGCGACTGGGGCGTTGTAGTCAGAGGCGGCGACACGGCGATTGGCAGCTTGTAACCGGTCTTGAGAATGTTGGTCACAAACGGGTCTTCCAGGATTATCTAGTTGGGCCAGAAGATCCCCAGTCTCCCGCCTACTGGAATAGGACGAACCGGCATGGCTGGGGGCGGGAGGTCACAGTCGTGTTGGGTCAAAACTTCAGCGACCGGAGTAAGGGTGCTTCCCCTACCCCTGCCGGGCGTCGAAGGGGGGGTCCCGGGGACGTTCCTGCTGACGGCACTGAAAAACTGGTTCGGATCTGCCACGGCCACGTCCTTGTAGACGACCTGCCACGAAAGGCCGAGCTCAAGGTTTCGAACGTAGACACAGAAACCTCAGTATTGGTAAGCTCTGCGTGTTCCTTATAAACCTCCGGAATCCTGTCATCAAAGAGGAAATGAGATGCAAAAGGGTCTCTTAACAGCTTCCTTTTAAACTCTTCCTGCCAAGAACAGGGCTCAAGGAATCCCATCCGCCTAACAACTGTCGTCATGGCCAAATCCGTCCGGAGGTGTGCCAGCAAATCATGTAACATCTTACCCTGCCATTGAAACAGGGTGGTAAGATGTTCTAACCTTGATGTGTTGTCTTCCGTCAGATCCCAACCTGCAGCCGAGGTTGTCGAGGCCAACGCTGAAACAGGCTTCAACATCCGCTTGAGCTCTGCATCAATAGCCAACATCTTGGAGTCCTGCACTCGGTAAGATGCCTGTGGGGAACCCGATAAGCGTTTGAGGGATTCATCATGAGCCGCGCCTCAATCAGCGAAATCCAAACTATGTATCTTATAGTCCCCTTTGCGCGACTTAGGCGTCTTAATAGTAGTATTAAGAGACAGTGTAGCAAAGTCAGCGTCCAAAGAAGCCACAGCATCGGCCACCATCAGGTGAGGCGGGAGGAGTAACTCAGGAGAAGACCGAATAGCTCTCGGGTTGGCTGATCCTGAAGAGGGAGAAGGACAATCCGGCAGTCTGTCGGCAATCCATTCGAACACAGCAGAGAGGGGGAGGTAAGTGCCCCCATCATCATCCTCTTGCAACATCGCCTCGTTATAATCGGGAGAAAAGTAGCGTTCCTCAGTGTCCTCCCAGGACATGGTAGGTGTATTAAACCGTTGACCAAAAGCAGCAGGCGTTGGGCGCTCAGATGACAACTGAGAAGCAGCACTAAAAGTAACTGTAGGGGAACGTGGTTCGTCACGGCGAGCGGTGAACAGGAGGTGACCTTGAACGGGACCGACGATATCGCCTCCCACGCATCGGTGACCGTGAACGCCTCTCCCTATCATTGGAATGTCTGGGAGAGGGAGACCTTGATGCAGACCGACGACGGCGATGAGAAAAAGCAGAACTATGACGGGGACTCCTAGACCAATGATGCTGACGAGAAGACCGGGAACGAGATCACCGAGAACGACGGGAGCGTTCGGCGTCCTGACGTCGGGAACGCTCTTCCCATAACTGACGCTGTAATTCCTCCTCTCTAGACACAGTAGCCTTCCTGGGGATACGATAGACTGCAAAAGGCGTCAGCGTTGGCGCTGGCGTCGGCAAGGGCATAGGCGTCGGCAAAGGTGTTGGCATAGGCGCCGGCATCGGGGGAGGCGCTGATTGATGCAATAAGCTAGCAACAGTAGAACAGGTCCACAGGCTCCGGTGCAGGGACAATGCTAGGCAGCGGCGCTGGAACGGTGCTAGCTTGGACACCAACAGCTGCAGGCAAGAGGAGCATCCGAAGCAGCTTCTGTACCTCCGGATGAGACAAGGCGTCCGGCTGAGATAAGTCAACACAGGCGTCAGACGGCGCTTGGCTTCAGGCATCAGCATACGCGGCGCAGGGGTAGTCGGCTTATCTATCAAAGGAGAGGAGTGTCCATGCGGCATTCGAAGAAGAGAAGACCGAGAGTCCACAGAAGAAACAGGAGAAGACATCTTCCTCTTCCATTGCGACAAGCATTTCTTCTTGGCGCTGATGTAAGCCTTGAAAGCTGCGACGCACAGCGGTGTGCAGAAATGAAAACGCTCGGCAAGGGAACAGGCAACTGTAGCTAAGTCTGGGCACCAGGGGTGGGGATCCTTGTGCCATTTGTGCCAAATATTTTGTCATGATTAAAAAGTTTGATTTTGTTGTGTTTTTGCTTTATAAATCAAGCATCCACTCGATTATAATAAGTAGTTTTCTTGTTAAAAATACATTCTTGCAATATATTGTGCATCGCAATATATCGCAGTATGAAAATTCTCTGCTATACCCACCCCAAGTAATCAAACAGGATTTTATATCATTAGCCAGTTTTGTATATTACGTCCAAAACTGAGGAAAGAAAGAGATTTCAAGTCAGTCAAAGGTTTTAGCAAAAAACGCAGTAGCATTCCAGGGATATTATTTGATTCTGTGTACAGGAGAGTATCATACAAAACTCATACACTGTCCTCTATATCTGTTGGCCATAAAAAAAACAGTTCAATCCTCATTAGTGAGGAAAGGAAGAACAAAGAACCTTTTCCAGTTTTTCAGCAATGCAATGAAGCTGGTGAGTAAACAACATCAAGACAGTATGTAGGTCTCCAATTGTGACAATACGTTTAGGCTTATCTCCCTTTGGTAAACATGTGCCTGACAAGTCAAAATGTTTGTGCGACTGGGAGTTCGCTAATCTTAAATGGACGATAAGAGATCTTAAAATAAGGTATCACAAAACTAATACTAATACTGAAGATTAAAATTAAAACAAAAAAAATCACCAATAAACATGTCTTTGGATACCTCTACTTGCAATACTTACTTCTTCCTTTGTGACCCACAGACAGGTGAATCTCATCTTCCTCTTCGTCAGTTCTGGATGAGGTCTCTGACAGGTCTATCGTTTCAGCAGGCTTTTTCTGGGCATTAAGAATATAGATTGATGGCATCATGTCTACCTTCTCATTTCTTAAGTCATCTCTTGAAGTTTGTGTTTCCATCACTTCAATTACTGATTTTGCAGCTTCTTTGGTGGCAGAAGATACAAGCATTGATGTAGGTTGAGTAGAACTTGATACAGTTGTAACTGTGAAATTTCTATTCTGGTCAGTTGAAATACAACCTTTCCTTATGTCTCTTCTTGGGATTGCTTGTAGTGTCATCACTCCACCTGCCAGTCCACCGAACTTCTGGGTTATGTCTATCTTCTCACTTCCTATTCCACTTTCTGCAGTAATATCTAGTTCCATCGCTTCAGCTAATGGTTTGGCAAACTGTTTATGGGAAGTAGAAATAAAACTGAATCCCTGACGATTACCTGGTTGCCTCACACCAGGCGCTGGTCCGTCTTCTCTTTTACGAGCACACAGAATAAAACGTGATGAAGTCACTTGAGGATTCTCTCCGTCTAATCCCTGACTATTACATGGTTGCCTCACTCCTGGTGCTGGTTCAGCTAACTTTTTCTGTGCGCACAGAATAAAACGTGATGAATGGACTGCAGCCTCCTCTAGGGCACTCATTTTCTTCCTGTCATCCTCTATGGCGGGTTGATCATCTTTATCTATGTATTAACAAAACATAAATGACATGGTAATAACAAATAGACTTATCATTACATTTAAAGTGGCTTCTACTGTGCTGTTGGGTCTGCAGGGTGATTGTGCTCACTACCGATCGTCGGTTCTCCATCTAAAATTAACAAGAAGACAAAGTCATCAATATACTCTTCATGATTATGTCTACGAATTATGAATTTATATCAAACATTTAGGGGTGTACATAGAAAGTGAAGGAGAGTATTGAAAGAGCTTTTAAAGTTCTGCCCCAGGAAGGAGCACTATCACCAGCTCTCAGTCTATGTCAAACTTGTTGCCACGGAAACGAAAAAATACTTTTTATTCAGAATTAAGCAAAACTACCAAAAGGCACCAGTACACCACCAGATCTATCTATGTGCCAAGTTTGGTGAAGAAATAGTGAATGATTTTAGAGTTCAGCTCCGAAAGAGAACAACCACCAATTCTGTGGCTTTAGTCAACTTGTTGCAACGGAAACGCCAAAAATATTTTTTATTCAGAATTCCAAAACTACCCAAAGGCATCAGTACACCACCAGATCTTATCTTATGTGCCAAGTTTGGTGAAGAAATAGTGAACGGTTTTAGAGTTCACCTCCGAAAAGAGCACAACCACCAATTTCAGGCTAAGTCAAACTTTGTTGCCATGGAAATGCCAAAATATTTTATTCAGAACTACAAAACTACCTAAAGGCACCAGTGTATTCACCAGATCTATCTATGTGCCAAGCTTGCGAAGAAAAAGTGAACGGTTTTAGAGTTCTGTTCGAAAAAACACACAAAATGTGCACGGACGACGGATTCGGACCATTTTAATAATACCCCTGCAAACGCCTGCTACGGGTGATAATTACATATTATGTAAATATTATTAATAAAAGACATAATTAAGGTAATTAATATGAATATTTTATATGTTTATAATTATGTGAAAAGTGTATACAGCATTGTAACCTTAATTCATGGATAACCTTGATTCGTGGATCGCGGTAATTATCATGCCAGCTTGTCAATTAAGTCTCATATGACGTCATGAAGCGGTACTGTTGATGTACATACAATGCCATGCCTCGCTGACAAAAAAATTCCGAATCTCTGCATTACGCTAAATCTAATTGTCCAGCACGGAGATAAATAGCCCCAGATCAATAATGCCAATATTACCAAATTTTATTTTTACAAAATGTCAAGTAAAAAAGATACCGTTAGCTCAAACTTTCTCACTTCTCGTTGTCTGCTTTCCTTCGTGTCAATACTTACTGCAGTGGGGGCTAGAATGCAATTTACCGGTGCAGCCTCTCACTGCTCGCTGAGGGCAATTATCGCCAGCTTGTCTCGTAATTACTCTGTCTCCCTCTGCATCTTTAGAGTCAAACAACCTTTACGATCCTTAGGGTTAGGGTATGGCACCCTTCACAATCCTTAGGGTTAGGGTTTAGGGTAGGCACCCTCACGCATCCTTAGGGGTTAGGCACCCTTTACTTCATCCTTAGGGATAGGCACCCTTTACGCATCTTTAGGGTTAGGTTGCTGGTTAGGGGAACCTTTAATTTTATCCTCAGGGTTTAGGGTTAGCACCCTTCCTCGAATCCCTTAGGGTTAGGGTTTAGGTAAGAGTATGACACCTGTCCCGATCCTTAGGGTTAGTGTTGGGAGAGGGGTAGGTTAGGGACCCTTTCCGATTCTTATTTAGGGTTTGACTTTACCGGTTTGTTTTCATAGAGTTACTAAAATCAAAACTACTACTGAAATGATAAAATATATTTTTGTAACCTTTTACTATGTATATGGCCAATAGGATTTTGCATGACATAGCGCTATAACATAACAAGATTTCTCGTGGCAGTGGAGTGTCAATATAATACTACTTACAATATTATTGTTACTTGACCACAACCGCAAGCTTCCGAGGAAGAAATCGTTATGTTACAAAGTTGTGTCATGGAAAATCTTTATGGTCATCAATCCCATATGCATATTTTACTACAACTAATAAGTAGTTTTTGATTTTTAACTTCCATTGAAGGCGATCTGAACCTAAAGTACATTTATACGAAGTTAGGGGTCCTGTGGAAATCTGTGCATGGGGACACCATCAGCCGACCCTAGGAGCAATTGGCGACAAAGCAACTTATTGACATGTCAAAATGCGTTGATGTCGAGGAAATCATCAAAATGATGGCGTGCTACACATTTTCTATACAACTAACTGTAAATGCGTTTCACTCATATGATGTACTGCAGTGGTCTGGCGACAGGATGCGTAAACCTGTCTGTCATGGTTTAGTTGGTGAGAGGAAGCAGGTGACTTTTTGGCCACTTTTGGCCACTTTTAATCGCTTCGGTGATTAATTAACCACAAGTTTTTTAAAGAAAAATTTGGTGTTCCGCATAAGACTAACCACAAATCTTTCATATGTAATCATTAAAAGAGTAACAAAAAACAAAGTTTATTGGTTCTTTAACACTTCCACAGAGTGCTATAAATTCAGTGTCATCAGCATGCGGAAAAATTACATATTTTCTTTCATTTATTTGTAAGCCCTATTTTTTTATTCTTTTACAACCAACCAAGCAAGAATTTCAACACACAGTATGACAGTGTATGGAGATAATGAATACAACCCAAAAAAGGACAGTTTGCCATTAGTAATTATGTCAAAGGCTTTAACAAACACAGCACATGTTAGCATTCCTGGGTTATTATTTGATTCTGTGTACAGGAGGGTTCAGAGGGTACAAAACACGATTCATACATTGTCTTCTACATCTGTTAGCCGAAAAAACAGGTTGATCAGTATTAGTGACAAATGGAAGAACCATTTTCAGTCTTTCAGCAATGCAAGAAGAAGCAAGTGTGTAATCAACATTAAGAAGGGATATACACAAATGGCAATACACTTCCTAACACCAACAAGTCACCTGCAGCCCCTAGGCGCTGGGATTATCCAATCATTCAAGGCATATTACAGGAGACATCAGCTCACTCAGCTTGTTGACTGCATAGAAAAGGGCCTACCTCAAAGGTCCTCTCACTATCCTAACTGGTTATAATGATTGCCTGACAAAAGACCCGCAGGACCGAAGCCCCTCGGACAAAAGCACTTTTGGGCAAAAGCTCCAGACATCTCAGACAAAAGCCCCATATGATAATTTATATGACTGCAATGCGTTGGGTAGAATCTGACCAGGTTTACCATTGGAAGTTAAAGCTTGTTCCTTGAGTTTGGTGCGGAACTTCACTGCTTCTACTGCTGTTGGGTCTGCAGGGTGATTGTGCTCACTTATCAGCCGTGGGTTCTCCATCTAAAAATTAACAAGAAGACAAAGTCATCAAAATACTCTTCATGATTATGTCTACGAGTTATGATTATGTCAAATATTTAGGTGTGTACATAGAAAAGTGGAAGGAGAGTATTGAAAGGTTTTTAAAGTTCTGCTTCAGAAAGGAGCACTATCACCAATTTCAGTCTATGTCAAACTTGTTGCCACGGAAACGCCAAAAATATTTTATTCAGAATTCCAAAACTACCAAAAGGCACCAGTACACCACCAGATCTATCTATGTGCCAAGTTTGGTGAAGAAATAGTGAATGATTTTAGAGTTCAGCTCCGGAAAAGAGAACAACCACCAATTTCAGGCTTAGTCAACTTGTTGCAACGGAAACGCCAAAAATATTTTATTCAGAATTCCAAAACTACCCAAAGGCATCAGTACACCACCAGATCTATCTATGTGCCAAGTTTGGTGAAGAAATAGTGAACGGTTTTAGAGTTCTGCTCCGGAAAAGAGCACAACCACCAATTTCAGGCTAAGTCAAACTTGTTGCCATGGAAATGCCAAAAATATTTTATTCAGAATTCCAAAACTACCTAAAGGCACCAGTACACCACCAGATCTATCTATGTGCCAAGTTTGGTGAAGAAAAAGTGAACGGTTTTAGAGTTCTGCTCCGGAAAACACAAATGTGTACGGACGGACGGACGGACCATTTTAATACCCCCTGCAAAACGCGTTGCGGGGATAATTACATATTATATCAATATTATTAATAAAAGACATAATTAAGGTCATTAATATGAATATTTTATATGTTTATAATTATGTGAAAAGTGTATACAGCATTGTAACCTTAATTCATGGATAACCTTGATTCGTGGATCGCGGTAATTATCATGCCAGCTCGTCAATTAAGTCTCATATGACGTCATGACTGACTGACTCAGTTTAGTTTTACGCCGCTTTTAGCAATATTCCAGCAATATACAAGCAGGGGGACACCAGAAATGGGCTTAACACATTGTGCCCATGGGAATTCGAACCGGGTCTTCTCAGCGCTTTAACCACTAGGCTACCCGCTATGGCGTCATAGCGGTACTGTTGATGTACATACAATGCCATGCCGAGACAAAAAAAAATCCGAATCTCTGCATTACGATAAATCCAGATCATTGAGATAAATGCCAGATATTACCACTATTACCAAATTTTATTTTTACAAAATGTCAAGTAAAAAAGATACCGTTAGCTCAAACTTTCTCACTTCTCGTTGTCTGCTTTCCTTCGTGTCAATACTTACTGCAGTGGGGGCTAGAATGCAATTTACCGGGCACAGCCCTCACTGCTCGCTGAGGGGCAATTATCGCCAGTGCTGTCTCGTAATTACTCTGTCTCCCTTCTTTTGCATCTATAGAGTCAAACAACCCTTTCCAATCCTTAGGGTTAGGGTATGGCACCCTTCATGATCCCAGGGTTAGGGTTTAGGGGTAGGCACCCTTTACGATCCTTAGGGTTAGGCACCCTTTACGATCCTTAGGGTTAGGCACCCTTGACGATCCTTAGGGTTAGGGTTAGGGAACCTTTACGATCCTCAGGGTTTAGGGTTAGCACCCTTTCCGATCCTTAGGGTTAGGGTTTTGGGTAAGAGTATGACACTCTGTCCGATCCTTAGGGTTAGAGTTGGGAGAGGGGTAGGGTTAGGGACCCTTTCCAACTCTTATTTAGGGTTTGACTTTACCTTAGGGCAGTATGATCCTATCATATCCAATTGAAACACATTTCAATCCATCAGGTACTCGTCAGTCTAAGAAATAATGGCGCGAAAAAAAATGAATGGGGAGGGTGTGGCACAGTACAGCGGAAGCGCGAGAAATGTTACAAACCATTGCGCGTGCACAGTGGTTTGTTTTCATTTCCAGCACTTCCGCCTCACTTCTGTGCAAATGACCCGTTAAACGAGCACACATTAACTGTGATGGTGCTCGTGTTCCGAGGTACCGCGTCCGTACAGCGTCCGCCAATTACGTCACTTATTAACAAAGTCAGTAATCTGCCGAAGTGCAGTACCCCCCGCAGTGGGGTATTAGGTAACCGACTATGTAATCCATGAAACAAGGTGACGTCAAATTTTGTGGCCACACTAATAGGTGATGATTGCAAATGGCTTCTGTAAACAAACGTTCCATTCATGAGTGGAATATTAGGCATTTTCAATTTGCTGAATCAATGAATAAAATAATCAGTGCGTATACAATATAAAATCATGCATTTAAAAAAGGAATTTTGCCGCACTTCCCTTATATCCACGAATCAAGGCTACGCGAGTGTAGATATTTTAAAGTTAACCTTGCGTAATCGATATTCGCGCACCTAACACGTTTTCGGCGCGGCATGCCAAATTAACAAGCCACTGAAAATCAACAATTATACAAACCTTTATAAAATGTTTATAAAAACATAAGTTTCAGCCTTTGACACTTCGCTATCGTAGCGGGACGAAGCCATCATGCCCACTACGGTATCAAGGTCAGTTGTGCACTACGTCATCAATATTCCTGATAGCTAAAATCCGGACTAACAGAATGGCTAATAGTTAATGTCAGCAGCTGATAACGATGTAACATTGAAGTTCATGTCTCACAATGCTGATAAGAAAGTTTTGTCAAGAAATGTTCAAAATTTGTCTACTTTTATCTATCTAACAATAATAATAAACAAAACACTTTTAAACAAGTAAAAGTTCCTGTAATCTTGAACGAAAGTTAAAAAACATTCTTCATCACTTCGGAGACATTTACTGAATAAACACAACATAGTTTCGTAATTCATTAATTATAACTATTTGATTTCATCTTACAAAGTCGTCATAATTGCTTTTCTTGGTAACTTTTCATGAAAATTTGTTGTAAAGTTATAAGGGATGTGTCTGAAAGGGGTTTCCATACTTCTTTTTCCTGGGCCACACCCCACCTACTGGGGTCATGACCTTTTAGCGTTACCAGTTACCAATGCAGATGACCGGTAGTAGTATAAACAATAGGGGTACGAGATATTTATCAAATAAAGTTTTTATCAGGCCCTTATCTCTTTCCGCTAGTGTGCATACCACATTTTGTTCGCCCCCAAAACTTCCTGGTAACTATGACTGCAAACCAACACTTTCCTGGTCACGTGACACTATTGTGATCACTCAACAGGGAGGTAAGTGTTAAATATTTTGAATCGCTACTTCTTGGGTGGGGGTAACATTGTGTCGTGAGGTATGATCAATAATTCCTCTCTGACGAAAACCTCTCGGAGGCCCATCTTTCAAACAGTACAAGTTCGGTTCGTCGGCTTTCATGTCCACTTTATCTATGTTGTAAGTTTTGACTGACCATGTCGGGTCGGTGGCTCGTTTCGAGTGTCTCCTTCGAGTTCTCCCGGCTGGTAGAGGTACCTCACGAGAACCCAGTTGGGTATTTGTTTCTCTTTTTTCACGACATGCGATGGTGCAGCTGCTTCAGCGTTCACTGATTTCAATTTAATAGCGTCTTTTTATCGGTGAGACGAGTGATTTCGTGATTGATAGCCGACACCACTTGAAGTGACATTATATATACCGTATATTACCGTAGATAAGCCGACCCCATAGCTTGACCCTTGAAATGAGTGTCAAAATGGTATGTTTCGTACATAAGCCGACCCCCCCGCGATGAGTCGCGGCCAACTCACACCACTAGACATCTGGCAGTCGGATGTAAAACGTACACAAGCCGACCCCACGCTATGGCCAACTCACACCACAAGACATCTGGCAGTTGGATGTAAAACGTAAGTATGTTTAGTGAAAATAGTATCTAATAAAGATCATACTGACCATTATTCTAGAAACCTGTGTTTGTTTTCTTTCTTATAATCCCAACGATCACTGTTTGTATGCATCAACAACAAGACGCCATTTTGTGAAGTCGGTGCATGTAGAAATATGAACCCATGAGAAAAAGTACCCACAGTAAATAAAACTGAAGTCATTTTTCATTCAAAACACTATATTACACAATAAGTCGACAATAATACAGAATGAATACAGTGATGAAAATAATTTGTACATTCATTGAACATTCACATCTACCGGTAATTTATATATCGTCCGCTGTGAAACCATCGAACTCTGTGTTACTGTCTTCTCCAGCCAGTGCCTGCCAGGTCAATTCATCTGTGTTGTCATCATAATAGTCATCTAAGTTTTCACATCCAAGGACGTCATCTTCATCAGCTCTAGGATCATTGGTGATAAAATCTTCAAACAGGGCCTCGTCCTCTGATCCATCCATTGCATTCGAAATGCCACACTTTAGGAATGATTTTTGAACCATGTCCTTTGGGATCTCATCCCAGGATTCCTTCACCCATTTGGCAACTTCAGGGAGAGGCGCTCTCCTCATGGCGTTTGATTTCATGAAGGTATGATCCCCATCCATCATCCATTCAGCCCACTTCTTGCGAATGTTCATCTTAAAGGGTTTATCGAGTGAAACGTCTAGTGGCTGTAAGAGAAACGTGCAGCCGCCAGGTATAACGGCCTGGTGTGTTTTATTGTCTACCAATCTCTTTTTCACAGACGCGCACAAATGGGCCCGGAACATGTCCCATACCAGGAGCAACTTGCATCCTCTGAGGCTACCTGGTCTTGCACACCACACATCCTCGATCCATCTGTTAACCAACGCCTCATCCATCCATCCCTTGGGATCTACGGCCACAATAACCCCGGTCGGGAATCTGTCCTTTCGGCATTGTTTTCCTTTTGAATACTATCATGGGTTTAAGTTTGGTGCCATCCGCCATACATGCCAGCACTACCGTAAAATGTTGCTTTTCATTTCCAGTAGTTTTCACAGAAATTGTCTTTGATCCTTTCACATCCACGGTCTTATAGCCTGGCATATCAAAGTTCAGCGGCGTTTCGTCCATGTTTCCAATTTGTGATAGATCGTAGTTGATCGCCTTCCGTTCTTTAATCACGAATGCGTGGAATAAATCC